AAAATTAAATTAACTTAAATTAACTTAAATTAAATTTAAAACATTGATTTTATAAAACATTATATTAAATTAGAATATCGTAATTTTTTAAAATTAAAATATTCACTAAAATATGAGAGTGAATTAGAACAGGCTAAAAGCCTATACGAAAGTAAAAGAAGAAGAAGAAGAAAATATTCTTGATAACAAAACAATTATAATAATGAATCATTAAATAAATTTAATAGTTTACTTTTAAATTAAATTTATGTAAAATAACAAAGAAATATTGTCTTCTTTATGTCGAAATGCATTTTTCTTTTGCAATTTTTTCTTCTACATAAATAAACTTTTAAATTAGAAAAAAAAGTTAATTAGATAAAGTTTGTGTTTTAAAAATAATTAATTGAAGTTATAAATTAATTTCTTTAAAATTAACTAGATTAAGTTAAAAGTTATTAACTTTTTAATCTTATTAGTTACCTTTTAACTTTTTAACTAGTTACTATTCGCATAAATATCATAGTATACTTTGCATCGATGCCAATAGAAACTTGGAAGAAAGTCGATCTTTTAGCGTTATCGTGTTATCACACTTTTTAATTTTGTTCTTGCAGTACCATGTGCGGTGGGCACTTTCTATGACGAAGAGACGAAACAGTGCGTGTCTTGTCCCGTGGGCACTTACCAGAGCGAGTCCGGGCAACTCAAGTGTAATTCCTGTCCGATAATCGCTGGTCGTCCCAGCGTGACCATAGGTCCTGGCGCGCGTAGCGCGGCTGACTGCAAGGAGCGTTGTCCCGCCGGCAAATATTACGATGACGTGGCCGGCCTCTGTCGCAACTGCGGCCACGGATTCTACCAACCGGACGAGGGTAGCTTCTCCTGCCTTCTGTGCGGCCTCGGGAAAACCACAAGAACTGCCGAGGCGGTGTCGCGGGAGGAATGCCGAGACGAGTGCGGATCTGGACAGCAGTTGGCTGTCGAAGGGAAATGCGAGCCTTGCCCGCGCGGCACGTATCGCACTCAGGGAGTGCAGGCGTCCTGCCAGGCCTGCCCGCTCGGCAGGACAACCCCGAACATGGGATCGGCGGCGATCGAGGAGTGCTCGCTTCCGGTTTGCGAGCCGGGAACCTTCCTCAACGGCAGCCTCAACGAGTGCGTAGAGTGTAAAAAGGGAACCTACCAGTCGGAACCGCAGCAGACCTTCTGCATCCCATGCCCGCCGAATACCAGCACCAAAGGATCTGCTGCTGTGAGTTCTCTCTCTCTCTC